AAGAAAAAGAAAGGTTGTATGCCAAATTCTCTAAGTGCGAGTTTGGATTAGAGAAGTACACTTTCTAAGGCGTGTAGTGAGTAGTAAAAGGAATCCATGTCAATCCTTCCAAAATTAAAGCCGTGAAGAATTAGGAAGCACCCAAGACACCAATCGAAGTGCGTCAATTCCTAGGTCTAGCTAGCTATTATTGGAGATTCATAGAGAATTTTCCCGAATAGCCAAACCTCTCAAAACATTAACACAGAATGAGATAAAATTTGGTTAGGGAGACAAACATGAGGTTTATTTCCAAAAGCTAAAGAAAATAGTGCACTGCACCAATACTATCCCTTCTAGAAGGCACCAAAGACTTCGTCGTGTCTTGCGATGCTTCACATCAAGGATTAGAGTGTCCGTTAATGCAAAGAGAGAAAGTTATAGCTTATGCCTCACGACAACTCAAGATGCATGAGAACAACTACACAACACACGATCTAGAGTTGGGAAATGTAGTTTTTGCCTTGAAAATATGGTGTCATTATGTTTATCGAACAAAATGCACGATCTATACAAATCACAAAAGTCTGCATAACATCTTCGATCAAAAGGAGCTCAAGATGAGACAACGAAGATGGTTAGAATTCTTGAGGGATTATGAATGTGAGATCCGTTATCACCCGATCAAAGCCAATGTAGTGGTTGACACCTTAAGCTGAAAGGAGCAAGTCTACAACATCCCCTTCTGGCACATATCATAATATTGTTCGCTTTGGGCTCCCGGCACGAAAACTTCCTAGGGGTCACCCTTCCTAAAATTTCTCTCCCCCGGGCACACTTAACTACAGAGTTCTTATGGGGTATGCTGCCCTCATGGCTTTAAAATGTGTTGTGACAAGGAAGGTATCCACACCGCTTTTAAGGAATGTTTAGTTCCGTCACACCCCTGGTCGACAGATGAAACGTCGGGCTGTGCAATGTTAGAATGATGGATTTAAGGCCACATACATACACTAAATAACACACTAATATATTAAACAACGTCACTTTTATTCATTAAATAAAATATTTTACAAAGCCTTTTGAGGTATAGATAGGTCATAAAAGCAAAATACAATAGTAAAACACATAGACTTCAAGTTGCATCATCAGGGTTATCTCCCTCTTCAATCGGGCTCATTCTCCTGAGAATACATGTGGTTTGAAAGGTCAACATACAATTGGTGAGTCCACCGATTTTATTATTTAGTTTTCTTGTTTAACCTGAAATCACTTCCTCAAGTTTATGCTCACTACTGCTACTTTCTTAGGTTATTTCCTAGTAGTAGTCTAAGGTAGTTAATTTTAGTTTAACAATGTTACAATAAGTTCCTATAATCGAGCTATGATTGTTGCGTTCCCTGAAAAACCACAATGTTTCATCGGACATCGCAAATATGTTTAGAAAGTTATGCATGCTTCAACTTTCCGTCAGGTTGTAGCTAGCAACCATAGGTAGGAGTGTCAATCCCATATATATCTTTACATATCTTTCCTGCTCACTTAATATTTAACGATTATAGGCTGGGGCTAGCTGAAAATCTTTCAGCTTGTTGATGAATCATGTCTCATCTAACACTTGTTATGGGGACCTCCATTGGTCGACCATGTTGTTACTACTTGCTGTATTTATGCAAATTACTTATTATATATATATATATATATATATATATATATATATATATATATATATATATATATATAAAATCAAGTTAGCGTGATTTGCGTAGCCAAGCATTTTGGCAGAGTAACCATTATGTACTAAGCTTATCGAAAGGGTGGCTATAATAACGACTAGAGTATCGATGTTTCCTTGCAACTGGCCATCATAAAAACTAGATTTGATCTTTTCTATCAGTACGAATAAGTATAACAACTAGGCATGATATTAACTATAAAAGTTGGGCGGAGTATATACCAGTATAATGTCATCCTAATGTATGAGCATAATTATCTAACTAATATTATACAGTTAGTAATAATTAAGTAATATTTGCATTTTAACATGTATTCCCCCTCCTCCCACCCCCGGAAAAGGTTTGGAAAATCGGGTCTTGAACTCACCTATGAGTTGTGATACCGTTGTTGTAGGGTGAAAACCGAAATTGCAAACTTCGAGAGGCGCTCGGGAGCAATGTCATGAGGACTGAGAAAGGGTTTGATGTGATAGTTTGGTAATTCCTGTCACCAACTATCACTAGATTTTAGTATCAACCAATGATGATAATAGAGCTTTCATATTTTAGGAAAAATATGATCAACTAGATAATAATAATAGGGTCAAAATGAGTGACCAAAGAGTTATCCTACTATGAATAATGAAAAGTGTATTTGGAAAGTACACAAGAAAGTGATCCCAAGAATATAATTGTTTTAAAAATCTGATTCCAATTAGAGTATTTATGATTTTTACAAAAGATAAAAACTAACCATGTTAATAACACTATTAACGTCAAAATGGCACAAAGAAATTGATTGAGTTTCTACCAACGTCGCAAAAAGGAAAATTTTAGTATCCCAAGAGATAAGGATTTTAAAAGGAAAAAGCTCAAAAACGATGTTCGTATGAAGGAAATACTATTTATAGAAAAATATAAAATACAGGTTAAAATAAAAGTTAGAATTCACAACACATCCTTAAGGAAAGTTGTAGTAATAGTAGAGAGCTACACAAATATATAAAGAGGGTAAGAAACAAGATTCATATAAGGAAGATATGAATTTTTATAAAAGATTTAGAGGTGCACACCAAGTGCACGTCATGCTTGACTCGCATACCTAACACCTAGATTCGTCGAGATTAGGGAGTCGTGGAACTTCAGAAGTGTGACACATGGCAAACTCTAGATTGAGCCATAAAGTTAGTGCACATCGCACTTAAAGTGTGCCGCCCACATAACTACTATAAATGAGGTGTTCACTTTTTGATTTTATCACACCCAAAACTCTCTCTATATCTCTCAAGCTTTTTTCAAAAGTCCTCTGAATGGCACGAAGCTTCGAATGCAATAGATTTGATGCTTCAGATTGCACTACTAGAGTGAGTTAACGACCCTAATTTCACTATTTTAAATGTTTTACAAGGGGAATACATGCTTATCAAATTATATTTTATCCATAAATACCAATTGTTTTTATAAAGCTTAAAACCTTAGGATAATGTAGCCATAGATACTATACCTAGTTGTAATCTATGATATTATGCCTAGGAGTTATGATGCCCGATAGTTTAGGAAGAGATAATACCTAAATGTATAGTGGCCAAATCCCTAGGATAACATAGTACCTAGAAGTAATGTTGGTTAAATTTAGGGATATGCACTGTACCTAATCGTTACCCTACGCAAATATCATGTTTTCAAATAACCATAATTAGGGTTTATATACGTATCGCAATATATATATATATATATATACACACACACACACACACACACACACACACACACACAAAATAATTATGAGATCTAAAAGATATAATTATCAAATATAAAATTAAATGGGTTTATATTATGATAGTTATAGGAAATCATTCGATAAGATATATAAAAGATAAAATACCTAAGGTTAATGCGTTAGTCAGCTGTTAATATTCCTTCAGTAGCCTTAATTAAATTCAGATACCTCGAACTGGTAATCGTTAATCTTGCAAGAGCTAGAAAGATATGTATAGTTTTATATGGTGATTGACACCCCACCTGCGAGTGTTAGCTACAATAGCGACATGATGACTTTCTTATTAATCATTATTCTACGTTTGATGAAGCGTCGTGTCAGGGGAATCACTAGTCAAACAATGTCGTGGTAATACATTACAAACACCTTAGAGATCCGACTACCAAGAAGGACGGTAAATATCCTATGAAGATAATAAATTACGAATTATAAAGCATCCAGTAGAAATAATAAGATAGAATTAGCATAATGTCCTAAAAATATAATAATTCAAGAGGCGATATAATGATAAATAGGATACCCGTGAACTCATTTACATAAAGTTGACATTTTCAAAAACCATATGTGTTCCTAAGATGGAGTAAAGATCAAGACAAGGAATGGTTTATAAGCTCAAATACATATATGTTTCATTTAATAGATAGTTACGGTTTATGCTTTGTGATTTGGGAAATATATGTACTGTCACCACTCGACATTTCAGTCAGCGGCTGGGGAAGGTGTGACAAAATGGTATCAGGGAAGATGTGTTCACAGGGACGTCGAACCCTATAATGAGGGGGGGGGGGGGGGGGTGAAGGTGGGTTGCATTTGATCCCATATCATCTGGGAATGAGAACTAAGAATTCCTTATAAAAGGTGTCGATACCATCCCTATGACAATGCGTTTTAAAGTTGTGGGTGCAGTAGATCTCATAAGAACTCTGCAGTTAAGCGTGCCTGAGCGAGAGTAATTCAAGGATGAGTGACCACCTGTGAAGTTTTCACGCAAGGAGCCTAAAGCGAATAATATTGTGATACGTGCTAGAGAGGGATGTTACTGGTATCAGAGCTAGTTGATGTAGCCTACTTAAAGAAGAGGTGACTAGTTTGATTTGTCGCTTGGGTTGCTGGATTCCAGAACGGCTATATGTTAAAATGGTCCTGCCCTCCGGCACTTCTTATTTGGCTAATCCCTAATTTGGTAGTCTAGAAAGTACAAAATAAAAAAAATAATAGCCACCAATCATAAATAAAGTATACAAATCAAAAACACTATATATAAGTTATTTATCTAAATTGGTTGAGTATGCAAAGGTTGAGTCACTCCTGAGCATAGCATGATCAACTATGTTTAGTCGTGATTGAACCAATACATTGACTGAATTAGGATTAAATAAATGATAAAACAGAAACCATATATACAAACATAAACCGAAAGCATACATAAAGTGTATCAAAAGTATACCACAAAATAAGCAAAGATATGTATCAAGATACAAAGTATCAACCTAAATGCATCAACCTACTCATCGTTACTCTCATACTCACCCTCCCTCGTTGCTATCATCATCATCATCGGTATCCCGATGATGTGTGCTTAAAGGACCAACACCATCATGACCTGGCTGAGCATGTGGTGGAATAACAGGACCCATATGACGAAAAGGTGGATGGTCCATACATATATGCTATATCACCCCAGCAAGCGAAGCCATGATCTAGTGACGCTCTTCCTGTGCAACATCCAGTCGCCGCATCACCTTGCATAAATTCAACTACAAATGGTCACTCTCCGTATACCTAGGTCTCTGACACCTTTTAAAGGTAGGATTAGGGATGTCCTCCGGCTCTACCTATCGAATCGGATCCACGATATCGTTATCCGGAATCCTCCTTTGCCGAGCCACTCCCAAACCAACACACGTGTCTTCCTAAAAGCGGTAGTACCTATCTCTCATAGGAACCATCCCACAAGTGCAAACCTCATAAGATAGAACCAATCGAGTAACCCAGTGACCCCCATAAATCCTACTTGAAGGCATGGAACCTAGAGCCATACCAGACAAATAGAGAGCTAAGGAAAAGGGAGGGTGAAGGAAAACCTCAGTCTGAGTGAGGCACCATATATAGAATAGGTGACCAGAAGGAACCTTTTCACACTCCTTGCGGTGATAAATAGTAGAAGTGACCAACCAATGGATCAAACGATAAATAGGTGATCGAAAGGCGCTCTCCTTGGCCGTCCTGGAAACATAGGCCCCCCTAGCATGACCCCAGACCTGCATATAGTGGTACTGATGTGGTGGCTCAGTAATACAACTGTCAAGACCGGCATGAAAATGAGGACTCAGAGTTTCCTTCGCTGTATAAATGCCTAGATGCCTCCACAGCTCAATTAGGGTGCAGGAGCGAGATACGCCTCCTAAGTGAAAAGTATAGACTGGTATATCAGCCCATCTTGCCAATGCCTTGTCGAAGTAGAATTCCGAAAATAACTCCCATCATACTTCTTTGAATACCACCTCCCGAACCCCAACAACCCGCCGCCATCTATGGCATAGAAAAAGCTCAAGAGTACTATCATCCCGCAATACATTGGTAAGGAATGGCTCCATATGAGCTGTCAACCCGAACTTGTCCGCATCTCTCCAGAAAAGAACCTGAGGAATGTAGATCTTCTTGTACAGAAGAGCGATTAGGTGAAAGATGAAAGAACTCTGACCAGGAAGATCATCGGGGAACTGTAAAAAAGGATGTGAAGGCCAGTGAGGAGGTAATTGATCTGCATCTTGTCAACCTTGTCTCATCATATCTATACAAAAATAGACAAAATACAGTTAGGAATAAGCTAGATTTATTAAATGTTGTATAAAGTGTTGAAATAGACCAGATGCACAAGGTGCTTGCTGCGTGCAAGTGCACGTGGCACGCATACATCTGCATGGCGTGATCCAACAACACGAAGAACAGTGGGCATGGTAACCTGCTGTCTCCTCAAATTTTCAACACAAAAACCATATATGGATGTTTGACTAGCCTTCAAGAATACAAATAAGTAACCCATTTCATTTAAAACATCACCAATTTAGGATATAGCTAAAAACTTAGAAATTTTTTCTAATTTCAAAAATTCAAAATGAGCAGCAATAGATGAATTAAACCTAAAATTGAGGTATCAGATGCTAAATTACTCATCTATTTCATAAAAACTAACAAAAAATTCATCAATTGATTAAAATTTTAAAACCCTAAAACTCGAAATTTATCCTAAATTAGGATATAGGATTAAGCATAGAGGTTACTTGGAAGTAGGTTAGTCAAATTAGATAAAGAAATCGAAGATTTGAGGCAGGTGCATGAAGCGTGTGTGGTGCTTGTGGGACCCAGTCGAGACAAATCAGGAGGGGGGCAAAAGGAATGTTGGAAAGTGTTGAATGAGGCCAAAATTCGGATTTAATATTGATCCATTGCAGGTGTGCGCAATGCATATCGAGTGCCCATCACGCATGTCCAAAATTTTCAAAATTGAACTTTTCATCCCCAAAAACCTTTTGATACACTAGATATTAAAATTCTTAAGGAGTTTAATCTAATTAGAATATTAAGAGCAAGGAAGAGGGATTTCCTTGAAATAATAAGAAATTCCCATAATAAGAGTTACTAGGAAAGTAACAGTAATAAGGCAACCATGTTTATAATAAGAGTTGCTAGGAAAACAACAAGGAAAATGAGAAAAAATGCTAGTAAAGTCTATATTTAAGCAAGAGATAAGAAGACAGGTTGCTAGGAAAGCAACTATAGTACCCTACAAATGGAAAAAGTAGCGTTAACCTCATTAGGAACATTAAGTAACCTTCTTGTTGTTATTTCAGGACAACAACCTTGAAATGCTAACCTTGACTGATCCGACCACCATTCAGACCATGATTCAGCATGAAGTCCGTGATGTATTAGGGAATCTCAGAGCCAATAAGGATGAGGGAAGAAATAAGGAAGGTAGTCAAATGATAAGAACCTATCAGGATTTTCTTAATAGTAAGTCGAGATATTTTTATGGAGATAGTGGAGTAAATAGTTTAATCCAGATGACAAAAGAGATATATACCAAGTGTGCTAGTGAACATAGAGTTAAGTTCGCAACATTCACGTTCATGCGAAGATCTCTCCTCTGGTGGAGTATTCAGGTCAACAATTTGGGTGTAAAAGAAGCATATGCAACTCCATAGGAAGAGTTAAAGAAGTAGATGATAAAGGAATTTTGGTTTGGAAGAAATGTGGCATGAACAGAGTAGGAACTCAGTAATCTGAGCACCAAGGAATTAGGTCTGGTTTTCTACACTATACACTTTGAGTACCTAGTCACCATATTCCCTGATTTGGTCAACTCGAAGATCCATAAGATCAATGCATATCTCCAAGGCTTAACTCCCCATATCACACCAGCCCAATACCTATGAGGAAGCTAAATGTTTTTCTCACACCCAAAACTCTGCATGCACAACCACTATAAATAGATGTGCTCACTTTAGGATTTTCTCACACCCAAAACTCTCTTAATATCTCTTAAGCTATTTTGGAAGTCCTCTCAACAACACGAAGCTTCGGATGCAATAGCTTGGATGCTTCGGATCACGACCCCAATTTCAATATTTTAAATATTTTACCGGGGGGGGGGGGGGGGGAGGAAGAGGAGGAGGACTACATGCTTATCAAATTACTTTGTCAAAATATATTTATATCCATAAATACCAATCGTTATTATAAAGCTTAAAGCCTTAGAATAATGTAGCCATAGATACTATGCCTAGTTGTAAGCTATGATATTATGCCTAAGAGTTATAATGCTCGATAGTCTAGGAAAAGATAATACCTAGATATATAGTGGCCAAATACCTAGGATAACATAATACCTAGAAGTAATGTTGGTCAAATTTAAGGATATGTATTGTACCTAATTGTTACTCTGACTAAATATCATGTTTTCAAATAACCATAATTAGGGTATATATATATATATATATATATATATATATATATATATATATATATATATATATATATATATATATAAACTACGTAGATGGGAACACCTTGAAAGTGGTCATAGTATGAAAGGATAAGAAAAATGGATAAAAATCTATAAAAGAAAGGTTATACGATAAGCACGAAAGGATTAGTTTATCCTATGAAGAAAATATATAAAGAATAGAAATGTAAAAAAAATGATAAACTATTCTAAAAGTATAAAACCATAAAAAAATATGTGAACTCACCAACATTATGTTGACGTTTTCAAAACCCTTGCGTTATCAGGTAAATGAGTATCAGAAGCAGTGAAGTGTTGAAGGAAGTCAACAAGTGACTGAAGGAAGTTTTAGTTGTTTAGTTTATAATTAAGAAGTGTGTTTGGCTATCAAACTGTAACATCCTGAATTTCATGACCAAAAATTTTATTTTTAACATAAAACAGATTACTGAAAATACCATCAATGTTATCTCATATCATGAAAACCATACATCAACCATCTTAAAAACATATCATAGGAAAATATTGTTAAAGTACAAATCCCAAGAATCTAATGTGCGGAAAATCGTGTGTGTGATGCGCTGCTATCGTGCCGGCTCCTTTCCCTTCGAAGAAGGACCTGAAGAAAAAAAAACTGAAAACTGTAAGCACAAAGCTTAGTGAGTTCCCCCATCATACCACATACCATATAATCACATAATACCTAGCATATCTGGGTGCATGCCTCTCCTTCGGTCTCTTTCAACTGGTAACTGCCTAACATATATGGGTGATGGCCTCCCCCTTCAGTCTCTTTCAACCGGTAACTGCCTAGCATATCTGGGTGATGGCCTCCCCTTCGGTCTCTTTCAATCGGTAATCGAGGACTATTTCACCCCTACCACTACCACATAATACCCTAGAATAAACATATAAATCATATATAGCCTAGCATACTTAGGTGTTGGCCTCCCCTTCGGTCTCTTTCAACCGGTAATCAGGGACTATTTCACCCCCTACCACTATAACATAATAACATAGCATACTAGCACATAAAGTATAACAGATAGTGGCATACTAGACACTTATCACAATGATAATCATCTTAACTATAATCAATATTAGTGGGCCAACATTTGTACCTTCGACCCACTCCTACTGGAAGGTAACTCACCTCAAACGTCGTGAAGTAACTAAACTCTCCGAGGCTCTAGAATCAACTCCTATCAAACTCATACACATAAACATCTCCTTTAATTACCCCTTTCATACGCATAACCCCCCTTAAGGGTCAACTTGGTCAAAGCCAAAGTCAAGGTCAATACCTTGGTCAAAGCCAACATTCCGAGTTGTCTTAACTCGTCGAGTTGACTCATCAACTCATGAGTTCCATAAATCCAAAAATTATAAACTTGCGATCCAAATCATCGAGTTCTTTCACAACTCGTCGAGTTCCTCCTATCATGGTATCGGGACTTTCCAATTCTACTCGTCAAGTCATTCTTGAACTCGTCGAGTTTTCCCTTTTACAGATTCGGGACATTTCAACACAACTCGTCGAGTTCCTTAATGGACTACATGAGACCTTTCCAATGTGACACCTTCAGGAGAACCATATCTCCTACCTGAAATTCCAGGTCTGAATGACGTTGTCGGCATAACTTTTCTGCCGACTCAAGTAGTCTAAAGCCTGCTCCGGACCTACTGGATCCTCTATGTCGTCTTGAGTAGCACCTCGTTACTCCCCATGACCCTCTACCCAACCTCACCCAGTATATCGGGGTTCTGAACTTCCTCCCATATTACATCTCGAAGGGAGGACAGTCGATACTCGCATGGTAGCTATTATTGTAGGAAAACTATGCCAAGGGAAGATAGGTATCCAAGCTACCAGCGAAGTCTAATACGCATGCCCACAACATATCCGCCAAGGTCTGGATGGTCCGCTCGCTTTGACCATCTGTCTGGGGGTGAAAAGACATGATTAAGTGCAGACGAGTAACCAACCCATCATGAAATTTCTTCCAGAACTTGGAAGTGAACCTCACATCTCGGTCTGAAATCACTGAAACTGGCACCCTGTGCCGAGCTACTACATCCCTGATGTAGATGTCGGCCAGCTTCTCAGACAAAATGCTCTCCTGGATCGGGATGAAATGGGCACTTTTGGTTAACCGATCCATGATGACCCAAATCGAATCCACTCCCCGTGTAGTCCTGGGAAGATTCGTGATAAAATCCATAGTAATATCCTACCATTTCCAAACATGGATATCCAACGGTTGCATCTTGTTATGAGGCCTCTAGTGCTCTTCCTTGTCCTTCCTGCAAGTCAAGCATCTCTCAACCTACCAGGCTACATCCCGCTTCATTCAGGGCCACTAGTAATCAGGACGAAGATCTTTGTACATCTTCGTCGTCCAGGGATAGATGGAAAATCTGGACTTGTGCGCCTCCTCCATTAGGATCTGGCGCACACCACCTGCGTACAGAACCCACACTCTGCGATGAAGTGTCAATAGTCTGCGGCTATCATAGTCGAAGGAAGAAATTTGACCCACTATACACTCACACTTTTGGTGTTCCTCCTTCATAGCCTCCTGTTGGACCTCCCGAATCTTCTCCAGAAGCAGAGTCACTACTGTCATCCTCAGACAGATATCTCTAATTGGGACTGTGAATGCCTAGCGGCTTAGTGCATCGGCCACAACATTGGCCTTCCCATGGTCGTAGATGATCTCACAGTCGTAATCCTTCACCACATCTAACCACCTACGCTGCCTCATGTTCAGATTCGGCTAATCCACAAGGTACCTGAAGCTCTTGTGGTCTGTGTAAATAGTACAACGGAACCCATGGTGTCGCCAAATCTTAAGGGTGAAAACAATTGCCCCTAACTCTAGGTCATCCGTCGGGTAGTTCACTTCGTGAGGCTTCAGCTGTCTCGAGATGTAGGCGGTGACGTCCCCTCT